CGGCAGGGTACTGAGTAACGTATAAGGGTTGGGGACAGTGGAATGAATGTGAGTGACTCTCTTGTTCACCTCCCTCAAATATTTTACCGGTCTGTAGTCCCCGGATTGTGGCTTTTTGACAGGCAGGAGTGGGGTGTTCCAGGCAGACTGGGTCATTCTCAGCACCCCCAGTTCCATTAATCTTCTGATATGTGGAGTAATTCCATGTTTTGCCTCTAGGGGCATAGGATACTGGTGCACTTTAACAGGGTCCACCCCTGCTTTGAGTTCAACATATACAGGAGGCCTGTGTCCCGCCAGACCCATACCCCGTTTCTGCCCAGGCTCGGGGAAATTTTTGGAGCCAATCTGATATATCAGGGTTAGGTTGAATCGGCTCTTGATGGAGTCTATATTCCTCAGTCAGGTCGTTGGTGACTAAAACCTGAATCAGTGCCCCATCGTGAAGCAGGGTGGCTCCTTTAGCTGTGAAGTGGATTTGTGCCCTCATTTTTGACAATAAGTCTCTGCCCAGAAGAGGGTCGGTACCCTGTTGTGAAGCAGGGTGGTTCCTTTAGCTGTGAAGTGGATCTGTGCCCTCATTTTTGACAATAAATCTCTGCCCAGAAGTGGGTAGGGACATTCTGGGATTACTAGAAATGAGTGGGAGACCTGGCTTTGTTCCTGTTGCCCCCTGTACCCATGTAGTTCTGGAGGACACTGGCCCTCTTGGCTGCAATAAAACTGAATTCTGGGCACCAGTATCCACCATAAACTCAATTGGTTTCCCCTCTATTTTCAGGGTTACCCTGGGCTCAGGGAGGGGACCTGAGCCCCATCTCCCCTAGTCACTTCACCCCCAATTAGAGCTGGTAATACCTTAGCTGATCAGTTATTCTTCTTGGGGCAGTCTTTCACCCAGTGCCCTTCCCCCTTGCAGTATGCACACTGGTTTTTCCCTACCTTATTTCATGGTCTGGATCCCACCAATGAGCTCCTGGGGGTTGGTTGCCAACAATATCTCTCTGAGGTCCTTCTTGTGGTGGGCCTGTTGTCTCTCCAGGACCCTGGTCAGTCTTGCTTCCTGTCTTTTTTCTTTTCTTTCCTCTCTTTGTTCTGCTGTCTCCCTTCTATTATAAACCTTTTCTGCTACTGCTATTAAGTCCCTAAGGTTCTTTTCTCCTAGCCTATCTAAAGACTGTAACTTTCTCTTGATGTCAGGGGCTGCCTGGTTAACGAAAGCAAACATCACAGTTTGAACTGATTCCTCCGCTTCTGGGTCATACGGAGTGAACCACCGGAAGGCATCTTGTAACCTCTCTAAGTATGAGGCTGGGCTCTCTTTGGGCCCCTGTCTGACATCATAGACCTTAGACTGTTTTCGAGCCACCATTTTGAGACCTGCTAACAGAGTCTGTCGGTAGACCAGAAGCCTCTCCTTACCTTCTGCCGTGTTGTAGTCCCACTTGGGACGGCTAGGGGGAAAGCTGGCATTAATGATGCCTGGGTCTGTGGTAGGGTCCCGCTGGGGCCCGGAACCAATTTCCGGGCTGCCTCCTGGATCTTGTTTCGCTCCTCAGTAGTGAACAGGACACTCAGGAGCTGGTGGCAATCATCCCAGGTGGGCTGGTGAGTGAAGAGAACAGTTTCCAATAAGTTAATCAAGTCCCTGGGGTTTTCAGAGAAAGGCACATTCTGTGAGCACCAATGGTAAAGATCACTGGTGGCAAAGGGCCAGTAATGAAAGGGCTAATTGCCCTCTCCATCTGGGGGCTCCACCGGCCAGAGGGGGAGGACAATGGTGTCAGGCTGGGGGGCCGCCCCCCTCCGGCTCCATGTGGCCTGTGCAGGTCCCTGTGGAAGCAATGGCGGCTCCTCAGGGTTAGGAGGCGGGGCCTGCACTTGTGGCGCCGTTGGCGGGGTGCCCATCTGAGAGGAGTAGGGTGGGGGAAAGATTTCGTTCTCCTCTGTGCCTCCCTGGAGAATGGGTTTCTCTTCCGCCTTTGGTCTGAGACGGTGGACCTGCAGAGGTGGAGGGGGAGCAGTTGGATTAATCGGGGTAAGGAAGGACTGGACCCAGGCGAGGGGCGGGGGCATCAGGTCGTTCGATGAGGCCTCGCCAGGTCACGATGTATGGGATCTGGTCCTGGTGGCCCGTCCGTGGGCGGAAGACGTGGTCCTCTACCCTGGAAATCAAACTCAGGTTAAAAGTCCCTTCAGGGGGCCATCCAACATTGAAAGAGGGCCAATCAACCGAACATAAAGTTGTCCATTTTTTTTCTTTACATCTACACTATTGTTATGGGAAATTGTCTTAACGTCCCCCCAGTGGACTAGTGTAAGATCTAGAGGGGAAGATGGGGTATTTGTTAGTCCCGTCCCTTTTGTCAACAAAGAAATTAGAACAAAGATCACAAGACACAAGAATGGCACAGAGGGCCCAAAATAAACTACCACGGCTTTCAGATGGTCTGGACTCTCAGCTGTGTGGATTCCCTGGCTCAATTGTGCCAAAGACCGTATGGATAGGATGCGTGTGTCCCAACAGGGTCGCGACATCCTCTGAGGTTTCAGATGGACTAGTGTCCTTGTGGGGTGTCCGGTGGGGAACACCCACCCTAACGAGGATGGGGACATCTCCCAAATCCTCCAGGTCGCCTTGCTAGCGTTCCAGTGACAAAAAACTGAGATCAGATGGCCGGGACCAAAGGGAAAGTATAGAAAAGACAGGCGGACAAACACAGTTTTACAAAAACTTACCTGGCCGGTTGATCACAACCATTTTGGGGTTGGTTCCTCTCGGAGGTCTCTGGGGGGATCCTGGACGAGCCCCCAAATGTTGTACCTCATCCACTGGACCCCAAAAAGACCACCGAGGACCCAACACACCAAAATGCAAAAGCAAAGGTTTATGGTCTATTCGGGCTTAAGCTTGGGCTCTCAGACCTCACCAACTCAACTGATCCGTGCTGAGAGCCCAGAGTAAGGGAGAGTAGAGCCTTTTATAGGCTTTAGACAAAGAGGGAGGGAATACTGAAGATACATTTTGGTTGGTTCAAGTAGCCCGCGCGACAACATAATTTTAAACTGATTGGATGTCTAAGATGCAGCCCTGGAAGTTTCTTATTGGTAAGTGCTATTCTCAGGGCTGTGGAATGTGCTGACTGGTTACCTGTGGGGCCTGGAGTCTCCATTTTTACCTTATAGGGCAGTTTTCATGCCTGGGCTTGCTTAATCTATAGTTTCCTGGAAGGGGGGTGGGGAATAGCAGGCAGGGGTCAGGGCATGCCAAGGCATGTCTAGGCATGTCTAAAGCAGCAGCCAAACATTTTACAGAAGCTAAAAGAGCAATTAGTGGGGGTCTGGAGGGATTGGGGGGTAGCAGGTGAATGAAGAGGGTCTCAGGGTTCTACACTGTTTAGAATATAAGTTCATGCAAGCAAGGATCTTGTCTCTCATGATCATAGATGTATTCCTGGTATCTAGAATACCACTGGCATACAACAGGCATTCAGTTAATTTAAGTGACTGAATGAATCCAAGTGCCAAGTAGCATTCCTAGACTGAAGATACTGTTTTTTTTTTGTTGTTGTTTTGTTTTTTTCCTCAAATCAGCAATTCCTGAAGTCACTGTCTTAAGTGATTATTTACCAAGTGCTGTCTTGTTGGAAGAGCTCAAAGAGTTACCCCTGGCTTTTCTTTTCTGACACTTGCCACAAAAAATGCTGTTCATCACACTTAATAAATATTAGCCCTCCCTCCCCCCTTTGGGTATCAAATCTAGGATTTCGTCCATACTAGGCAAATGCTTGAACAGCAAACTCTTTATCTCCAATCCTTGCACCTCAAGTTAGAATGGACTGATTAGGTGAACTATGGAGGCATTAGAAAAAGTTCATTTTAGGTAGCAACATGGAATCAGGACTCGCTACCAAAGGGAGGAAAATACGAGGGAAGAGACGTTACCACTATTACTTTGCTAGTACTGTAACTGAATAATTATTGCCGTATTACTGTATATGATAGCAGCCTGAGACGAAAGATGTAAACAGTAGTTACAGTCTTGGAGTTTGTGATTATTTCTTTTAAACACTTCGTCCAGACATTTCATACCATATACTCGCTCTGAGGTCTGCAACCACTTCCATAGGCCCTCTTCCTTCCCAGAACAAGTTAGCGAAGTGGCCGCCGGCTACCGGCCACCGTCCACCGGGAGAGTCCCGCTCAACGTTCGCCTGCGTCACGGCCAGCCACTCCCTAGGCTCCCAGCGCTCCCTCTGCCCCACTTCCTCCCTCCAGGTCCCGCCCTGCGCCTGTGCGCCTGCGCACGGACGAACACGTGGCTGCCGCGGAGCCAGAGCAGCAATGGCGGCGGGTGGCGGCGGTAGCTGCGACCCCCTGGCGCCGGCGGGGATCCCCTGCGCCTTCTCCCCCGTCAGCCAGGCCTACTTCGCTCTAGCCTCCAGCGATGGTCACTTGCGGGTGTGGGAGACAGCCAGCAACCGGCTGCACCAGGAGTACGTGCCTTCCGCGCACCTCAGCGGTACCTGCACCTGCCTGGCCTGGGCGCCAGCGCGGCTGCAGGCCAAGGTAGAGCGTCGGGACGGCGACCGGGCGGGCGACCTCGGGCCGGCGTGCGGTGCCCCGGGGCTGGGCGGCGCGTGCCTCCACGGCGCGCGTGGCCCTCCGCGCCCGGGACCGGGCGGTTCGGAGCGTGGCTGCGGCGCGCCTGGGCCCACGCCGGCGGCGGGAGTGCGGCCTGCCCTGAGCGGGCACAGGGAAGGCGCGGCCGGGTCCCGCGGTGTCCATGCGGTCTGCGCCCCGCAGTGTCCATGCGGTCTGCGCCCCACAGTTTCTGGGTCGCCATGTTCACCGAGGCCCCGGGCCACCAGGGGCGGCATCTCACTTGCAGGCCCAGCTCAACTGTGTTCCCTTGTCCTGGCTTTCGACCGAGCCTTCGCTCCCCTCACCCTGGGACTCTTCGGCATCCCTGATCCAGGGTATTGCTTTGCTCTGGCCAGTTGGGATGAGCAAGTCTGTTGTCTTCCTTCCGGGACCCCCTGTCCCCGGATGCTGGTTCAACACGTGTTCTCTTCCACCTCTAGGTTGTGGGAGTCTCACTCTTCCAAACTCTGGACTAGGATCCTTTTCGTTCCTAGCGTTTTGACCCTTTTTTTTTTCTGTTGTTACTGCTAGTATTCTCCATTTACACCCCCCCCCCCCGAAGTCTGCATTAGGATACGGAGATAAAGTGAAATAGTATAGATATCTTGCTTTAATGAATATGAGGTAAGGCCCAGTAATATCCCCCCCCTCCCCCGTAGATGGGAAACTGCCGAGTTAGGGAATCTTTTCGCTGTCAGGTAAATGCTGTTCAGTGTTGAGTCACTCGATTGCATCTACTCCAGTTCACGCGCACGTGGTTACTGCAGTGAGGCAGTAGGTAGGCAAACGGAATCACTTCAGTGTGTTCTGGAATCATCAGGTGTCCCGAAGTACTTGCTGTCATGATTGTAAAAGTTCTGACTACCAGAGAGAACCTCACCTAAATCTTTTGAGATGAAAGCTGGGATATATCTAACTTGCTGTACTTTGGGTGAATACGTTTAGGTATTTTGTCAAATTTTAAGCTACATTTCCACAGTTTCAGTTTTTGGACCTCTTAAGTCCACAGTATTTAGACTTGTGAAAAAGTCGTAATTGTCATTATTAAAATTACAGCCCTTTGCAAAGTTTTATAATACAAAATTGTTTTCGTAATTTAACAGTCCTGTAAAGTGGTATAGTACTAACAGAAATACAGAGCAGTGGTTAGGTAGGTGTATGTACCCAGAATGTAAAGTTTGAATCCAGATTTTGCTATAAAGTAAAATTATGCTTTTTGTTCCCCATTTATAACATGAGGGTAATCCATAACTACTTCATGGAGTAGTTATGAAAGCTAGTATATTTAATGATGCAAAAGACACTTAAAATATTGGTGTCCTAAGTGCTTGTATTATTGTTGTTAGTATCTTGGATTTATATAGTTAGTCCTTCAAGGTAGGTAAAACTAAGCAGCTTTGACCAAATGAACTAGGGCTAGAACTCATGTCTTTAAAACTCAATTCTTGGTTATCTACAACAAATAGTTAATATTAGATTGGCCATAACTTGGCATTCACTTTGCTTTCCTGTTGACTTCCAAGCATGTTGTATCCCCAAGTTTCAAAAGTCATGGTTTTATATTCACTGTGATAACAGTTTCATGACCAGCACTCAACTCAGACCTTTTGTCGTTAGGTTCCTTTAATTTGAGTTGCTTCGTTGAAAAGTGGAATTGAGCTCATCAAAACCCGTGTGCTGAGTATGTAGAGCTGAAGAGTGGGTGTTTAGCAGAACCCTGGTTCATTCCCCACCAACCCCCTCCCCCCGCATGTGTTTATAGCTTTCACTTTTAGTCATGTGCTGTCATTTTGACTGTGAAATGTCCTGAAACTACTGCATTTAAAACTGGTTGAGGGCTGGGATGTACCTCAGCGATAAGAGTGCTTGCCTGGCGCATGAGAGAAAGGCCCTAGGTTTAATCCTCAGCACCACAAAACCAAAAATCAAGCAGAAAAGCTGATAGCACTCAATTGACAGGGTAAGGAAGAGAAATGTCTTAACCAAAGCCTTAATCACTACTGAGTAGTGGCCACTAGGGTCATGGTACTGTTGACTAGTTGTCCAATGCCCTTACCCCTTTCCTGTTTCCCTTGCACTTTAGTCTTAGAATTGAGAGTTGGGAGGATTATAGAGCTATGCAGTTCCCAACATTCTGGGTGTGTGACTTTGTAAAGGATTAGTTTTACTTGAAAAGTTTGAGAGGGGCAGCTTTCCTCTATTTTATTTATTTGTTTATTTTTTATAGTAGACTGAGCAGCTGCTCAGCCTCTGCTCTGGGGTCTCTGGATTGCGTGCCTAGACAAATTTTTTTTAACATACTCTCCTCTTATTCAAACACTTTTTATTTTACACCCTTTGGTCTTAAAGTATGAGGCACAAAAAGGGTGTTATTATGAAACCCATATTCCCAGCATTTTGTTAAGGTTCTGGCATTTTGATTTATTCTTCAGCATGAAAGTAACACTATCCTACTTCTTGAATCCTCAAGACTAAATAAGATCATATATGCCTGCTATAGTAAAACCTGGTACATAATAAGCTGTTAGTTATGAATCAGTGGATGTTTTGTCTGCACTCATCATTTAGTGTTGAGTTCCCCATTGTAAGTCAGTTCATAAGAGTACCCTGCATAGTAATTGGTAGCTTGTCAATGGACAAAATGTGTGATTATGCTCTTAGTGTGGGGAAAGATAAATTTGTGCTGGGTTTCTTGGATAATAGGTTAAGGTAGTAGTAGTTCTACATAAATGATTAAAAAGCTCAAAAAGACCAAAAAAGCTCAAAAAGACCATTCTGCTTCCAGAATGATAATGCCTTTGCATTTATGCCATGATAGCTTAGCGTTTCTCTGGTCTATATTTGTAATCTGAAGCTGAGATGTTAATGACAGGTTAGAACTACATAACTGAGCCACCAAGAAACTGATCCTGTTAACTTCCTCGCTTTCTTTCAGAAAGTTTTCCAGGCCAAGGGGCAAAAGGGAGACTGTCTACAAACAAACAGACAAAAACAAAACAAAACTTGAGCATAATTTTCAGTGTTTAGAGGTCAGTTTTGATCTGTTAGTGGATTGTGAAATAAATGGGTTATAACAGCAGTAAATGAAATAGAATGGAAAATAGAGTATTGTTCATAGTAAGGACAAGTTTTTCTTTGAAACTTATGTCGTTTATAGGTACAGATGTTTCTTTGAGTGTATATGAACCTCTATGTGTATATGAACTTTTATTTATTTATTTAATTTATTTATTTTGGTCTTTTTGAGACAGGGTCTCCCTATAGCCCCAGCTGTCCTAGAACTCACTATGTAGACCAGGCTGGCCTTGAACTCACAGAGATCCACCTGCCTTTGCCTCCCGAGTGCTAGGATTAAAGGTGTGTGCCCCCCCCCCTGGCAGTGAACTCTTTTTTTTTTTTTTTTTTTTTTTTTTAAAGGAAGAATTTAAAAAATGTTGTGTGTGCTCTTCATGAATGTATGTGGACCACATGTATGCCTGGTGCCTCTGGGTCCCTAGAACTGGAATTAGATGGTTGTCAACCACTCTGGGTGCTAGGAAACAAACCCAGGTCCTCTGCAAGAGTAGCAGCATTCTTAATTGCTGAGCCTTCTTCCAGCCCCATCTGAACTCAAATTCTGACATCTTACTCTAAAATGTCATTGCTTAATTGCTGACCAGATTCAGTCTTCTCATCTGGATATACTGGTGAGTCGCTCCCTCTCTCCCTCCACCTCATCTGTGCTACTCATTGACTTTTAGCACTCACACATGTGATTCAGACTCCCTCAGCATTCTGATTATCTTGGTCAGATCCTGATAATCTTCCATCAGACAGGTTTTGATACTTATTCCTTAGTGTTTGTTGGAAATTCTCTTTCCTCTAAGGAATCACATTGTTTTTTTTTTTAGTCTTTACCCCTGGTGCCTTCGTGTAGATTTTCCAGTGACAGATATTTGAACCAAATTCTCAGCCAACCTTTATGCATTTACATGTGTAATCAATATTCATACGGTGTTATGTTGAGCTCCTTAGAGGGAACATCTGTAACTAGTAGAAGAAATGGACAGTTCAGATTTATAGTGTCTGTGACATAGTATGATATTTTCAGAGAAGCAAGAGGTTTCTGGAGGAAAAGTGTATGTGTAAAAGTTCAGGGAATATGGTGTAAAGATAGAGCAGGAATCAGCAGCGCTGACCTCTTGGACTCAGAAGTATTTGGTATGTAGTAGTACTTAGAACACAAGATTTCAGGCTGGAGAGATGGCTCAGTTGTTAAGAGCACTTACTGTTCTATCAGACCACCAGAATTCAATTTCCAGCACCCATGTCCAGTGATTCACAAATGTCTGGAATTCTAGCTCCAAGGGATCTCTGATTCCCCCTTCTGGTCTCCATGGGCACCTGTACACATGCACACACACAGAGACACAGGCACACACACAAAATCTACAAAAACCTCACTAGATTTCACTACTTTGTACACTACTTATGTAAATTTCTGATTTGGTTGCTGTGTTAACATGTTGGGCAAGTTCGTCTCCGCATCTTGCTAGACATGGACATGGGTAAACATGGATAGTTTCATTTATTTACTTTTTTTTTTTGTTGGGACAGGGTCTTCCTGTAGCCCCAACTGACCTGTGTAGACCAGGCTGGCCTTGATCTCACAGAGATCCACTTGCCTTTGCCTCCCAAATGCTGAGATTAAAGGTATGGGTCACCATGCTTATTTAGTGAGGGGTGTGTGTGTGTGTGTGTGTGTGTTGCTGGGGATTGAACTCTGAGCCCTGAGCATGCTAGACAAGCACCCTACCACTGAGCCATGCCCCCAGCCCTCTTTTTACGTTTTTATCTTATGTGTATTAATGTTGCCTGCATGCATGTGTGTAGCACTTGCGTGCCTGGTGCCTGAGGAGGCCAGGAGAGGGTGGGATTCCCCAGAACTGGACTTCCAGCATGTGGGTGCTTGTGTCCTGTGAGAGTAGCAAGTGCTCTCTTTAAAAAAAAAAAAAAATTATTATTTTTATTTTATGTGTATGAGTGTATTGCCTGCATGTATGTGAGTGCACCCGTGTGGTGCAATGCCTCGGAGGTCAGAAGAGGGCTTTGGATTTCACTGGAACTGGCACTAAGGATGGTTCGTGGCTGTCATGTGGGTGCTGGGGATCAAACCTGGGTTCTCTGCAAGAGGACCTGAGCCATCTCTCCAGCCCCATAGCAAGTGCTCTTAACCCTGAGCCAACTTATTTTTGAGTTAGGGTCAGTTGCTCAGGCTGACCTGGCACTCAGTATATATCCAGGCAGGCCTTAAGCCCATCATCTCCTGCTCCAACCTGCTTCAATTGTTAGTTGAGATTGAATAGTTGATTAGAATATGATTTAGCTTTAGACCAGTGATCCTCGAAGTTGCACATAAATCCTGATAGGCTTGTTCCACCAGCCTTTTCTTGTTTCTATCAGAAATAGATTCTGAAGGTAGCAAAGTTAGCAATTTGATGATTCTAATGCTTAATTTCTAATTTTTGTGTGTGTGTGTGTTTAATACAAATTCAGTCTGTAGTAAAGCTTGTTTGGAGCTCCTATGCTCAGCTCAGAAAAGAGATTATTTTTGTTTTCTTTATTTTAGACAGAGTCTCAAATAACCCAGGCTGGCCTTAAGCTTTCTATGTAATGGAGTCTAAAGGTGTGTGTATCACCATAGCATTCCCTGCCCCACACAGAAGAGATGTTGATAAGGTAGTACATATGAATTGAGTATGTAATCTGAAGTGTTTGAGACTAAGAGTGTTTCCAAATTGAGAGGTTTTGGATTTTAGAATATTTGCATTCACTTTACCGTTTGAGCATCCCTAATTTGAAAATCCCCAAATCTGAAATGTTACAGGTTTTCAGATTCGGGGTGCTAGACCCCTAGTAAATTAATATCCACCCCCACTGGCCTATTGTGAAGTAGATATTTCTGTTCATAGCCTTAGGTAGAAATCATATTTGTCCTCTGGGATCTTTCAGAGGTCACTTTAGAAATGTGTATCTGAGATGGGGCTGAGCACAGTCTTAACACAGAGGCTGAGGTGTTTCTAGCTGAGTCTGCCAGACTGTTTGCCTTTGGATTTTCTTACAATTTCTCTTTTGGATTTATTAATGTAGTTACATTTCTAAGGACTTGGTAGAAGGTTACTTTTTAATGAAGTTACTTTTTGTTAAATCTTTTTTTTTTTTAAGAGTGATCAAATGCACCCTTGACTATTTTATTTTTTTAATATTTTATTTATTATTTTTATTTTACGTGTATGAGTGTATTGCCTGAATGTATGTGAGTGCACCCATGTCGTGCAATGCCCCGGAGGCCAGAAGAGGGCTTTGGATTCCCCTGGAACTGGAGTTAAGGATGATCATAGCCGCCATGTGGGTGCTGGGAATCGAACCCCGGTCCTCTGCAAGAGCAGTCAGTGTTCTTAACTGCTGAGCCATCTCTCCAGCCCCTGTTAAATCTCTTGCTTTTTGTTTTACCAAAACAAAAATCTGATCGTTTGTCCTACAATCAGATTCCCTTAATATAGCATCCCTTTAAGACAACTAAAAGAACAAGTAGGAAGGAGAAAAAGAGCTTTAGAAACCTACAGTGATTTTTTTTTTTTTTTGGACAAGGGCTCATGTAGCCCAGGCTAGTTTAGAATGCATGTGTAGCTAAGGATGACTTTGGTGGTTCCTAGGAGGGGGAAAAAAAAAAAAAACTTGCCAAGTGCTGGGATTCCAGGCATGCTATTACTGCTTCTGCAGTTCTTTTTTTTTGTTTTGTTTTTTTGTTGTTGTTTTGGTCTTTTTGAGACAGGGTCTCCCTGTAGCCCCAGCTGTCCTGGATCTCACTCTGTAGACCAGGCTAGCCTTGAACTCAGAGATCCATATGCCTCTGCCTCCCAAGTGCTGGGATTAAAGGCGTGCGGCACCATGCCTGGTTTGCTCTTGTATTCTTTATGTACTGGCAATGTAGTAGCTTTCTTCACTGTTTAAAAAATATTTTATTATTTTTATTTCATGTGTATGAGTGTATTGCTTGCATGTAGATAAGTACACCTGTGTCATGCAATGCCTGTGGAGGACAGACTGGGCTGTTGGATCCCTTGGAACTGGGGTTATGGACAGTTGTTAGCTGCCATGTGGGTGCTGGGATTTGAGCCCAGGTCTTCTGCAAGAACAACCAGTGTTCCTAACCGCTGAGCCATCTCTCTAGCCCAGGGACAGAATTTTTAAAGTGTCTTTGTGGGCTGATGGGCACTGGTATTTATTAATGATGTTTGATATGTTTGCGTGCATGTGTTTGAAATACTAAATTAAAAATGTTATTTTTTATTTTTTTCCAGGAAAGTCATCAAAGGAAAAAAAGGAAATCAGAGGCTGTAGGAACGTGTGACCAGGTCGACTTGTTGGCCCTTGGTACAGCAGTTGGTAGCATTTTATTATATAGTACAGTAAAAGGAGAATTACACAGTAAATTAATAGTAAGTATATTCACATATATATTTAATTTATATTATTTATTTTATTTTGTGTGTGTGTGTAATGCCTGTATGTAAATGCACCTGTGTCATGCAGTGCCTGCGAAGGACAGAAGAAGCTGTCGGATCCCCTGGAACTGGAGTTATGGACAGTTGTTAGCTGCCATATTGGTGCTGGGATTTGAACCCGGGTCTTCTGCAAGAACTACCAGTGTTCTTAACCACTGAGCCATCTCTCCAGCCCCCAATATTTACATATATTTTAATACAAAAGATGTTTCAGAAACTGATTGTTAGAGATTATTTAAAAATGCTTGAAGATACTGAGATTGGGGCTGGAGAGATGGCACAGTGGTTAAGAGTACCTACTGCTCTTGCAGAGGACCTGGGTTCTGTTCCCAGAACCCACATGGGGGCTAACAACCATCCTAACTCCAGTTCCAGAGGGTCCAACACCATCTTCTGAACTCTGAGGGCATTGTACAACACAGGTACATTGAGATACATGCAGTCAATACACTCATACACATAAAAATAATAAATGAAAAAATTTTTTATTTTCTTTTTGAGACAGGGTCTGTCTATAGCCCCAGCTGACCTGGAACTCACTATGTAGACCAGGGTGGCCTCGAACTCACAGAGATCTGACTGCCTCTGCCTCCTTAGTGCTGGGATTAAAAGTGTGTTGCACTACACCCGGCTGAAATAAAATATTTTTGAAGAAGATACTGAGATTGCACTGTATAGGGGCAGTTTCCCATCCCACTACATTAAAATAAGTGATGTTTTTTAAGAACCATAGTGAGTAACACTGTCCCTCTTATGGGTGAGAGTACAAAGCAGGTGTGGGCATGGTGGCACATTCCTTTAGCCCCAGCAGGCAGAGACAGGCAGATCTCTGAGACTGAGGCCATCTTGGTCTACATAGGGGGTTCTAGGCCTCCTGTGGCTACAGGGACACCCTGTCTCAAAAAACCAGAAATTTTAAAAAAAGGTCAGATGTGGTGGTATTTGTAATCCCAGCATTAGAAAAGGCAGAAACAGGTAGATCTCTGAGGATTGCTGACCAACCAGCCTCACCTACTTGATGAGCTCAGGCCAGTGAGAGACTTGGTCTCAACTTAAAAGAAAGAAGAGTGATGGAGCTTTTGAGGAACAACACTTCAAGTTGTGGCCAACAGTCTCATGTGCACACGTACCCACCCAACTTGAATATAGGCACACACTACAGTCTGCAGTAAAGATTATAAAAGTAACATATAGTATAAAAATGTGACGTATTCTTGTATAAAAAGGTGCTGTCCCTTTATTCCTTTCTAAGTGGAGGGAGTTCTTCTGTGGGTTCTTATACCACTGTAGTTGGAAAACAAAATCACACACAGTTGAGTGGTCTGTGAGACATGAACACATTTAGTAATACCTCAAGAAGTACTGATTTCCTTTTTTGAGACCTGGTGCCTTTATGTTGTTGTGGCTCATCTGGAACGCTTTAGACTCTAAGAGATCTCTCTTCCTCTTCTCTCTGGAGTGCTGAGATTAAAGCCATCTCCAGCCCCACTTTTTATTATTATTTTTTGAGAGAGCATATTGCTATGTAGCCCAGGCTGGCCTCAAACTCACAGTCCTCCTGCCTCAGCCTGTCCAATTCTGTGATTATGGACATGCACCATCATGTCTGACAGATTTCTGGGGATATTTTTGGAGTATTTTCTGGAGTGAGGTATGTGCTTATAATCCTAGCACTGAGACGATAGAGACAGGAGGATTGCTTCTGGCTGGGCAGGTCTGTGCATGCCTGTAAATCGCAGTAATTTGGGAGACAGAGAGATGAAGATCACTGCAAGTTTTAGGCCAGCCAGAGCTATGTAGGTAGTGAGCCCCTGTCTCACAAAGGAAGTTAATTTTTAGACTCTGGCTTGAGGTCACTAGTTCTTTTTTAGTACTTCTGATAGCTTGTGCTGGGATTTCTGTCCACAGCAAATGACATTTAGGCCTAGTATTTTTGGAGGTTGTGGAAGTAGGTTTTTCCTATAGAGGAAAATGGAAAACTAACATTTTTTAAAAGATTATTTTGCTTTTTTTTTTTATGAGACAGGGTCTTCCTGTAGCCCAAGCTGGTCTGGAACTCATGTAGACCAGGCTGGCCTTGAACTCACAGAGATCCACTTGCCTCTGCCTCCTGAGTGCTGGGATTAAGGGCGTACGCCACCATACCTGGCTTACTTTGCTTTTAATTATGTTCACAGGAGTGCAGGTGCCCATGGAGTTCAGAAGAGGGTGTCAGATCCCTTAAAGCCTGGAGTTACAGGCGGTTGTGATCTGTTTTATGTGGGTTCTGGGGATTGAACTCTGATCCTGTACAAGAGGACCATGTGCTGTCATTAAGCCATCTCTCCAGCCCCCAAAAGATAAGGTTAAGGCTTTAGTTAGGTTAAGGACTAAGGTTTGGGGCTAAGTGTTTGGTAATGATTTCTGGATTCATATTATATAAAATAATATTTTTTTCATTTTTTAAAATCTGCAGAGTGGTGGACATGAAAACAGAGTCAATTGCATACAGTGGCATCAAGACAATGGTTGCATATATAGTTGTTCAGATGATAAGCATATTGTGGAGTGGAGTACACAGACATGCAAAGTGAAGTGGTGAGTACTAGCAGTGCTTGTTTGGAAACACATTGAATTTGATAGATCCTGTGGGGCATGGTAGGGAATGCATACACTAATGAGGTAGATGGTTCTCTGGTAGTACAGTCAGATCAGATATTCCCAATGTTAGTACATGAAAGCTAAATGGACACTGTTGGGAATGGAGTGGAAGGGGGAGAAAAGCTAAATTGTACAGAGTAAAACAGAGGTACAAGAGATATCATAAGGGGCTGGAGAGATGGCTCAGCAGTTAAGAACATTGATTGTTCTTGCAGAAGACCTGGGTTTGAATCCCAGCACCCACATGGTAGCTAACAACTGTCCGTAACTCCAGTTCTAGGGGATCTGACAGCCTCTTCTGGCCTCCGTGGGCATTGCACGACACGGGTGCACTTACCTACATGCAGGCAATACACTCATACACATAAAAAATAAAAAAAATTAAAAAGTTACAATAAAGTGGAATGTGGTTACTTGTCAGATCAGTAGTAGAGCTGGGAAGGACTTGTGGAAGTAAAATGGTTTGAGTTGGAACTTTCTAGGTTAGAGGCTTGTAGGAAAGCCCTTTCAAGAACGGGTGAAGGAATGTAGTGATATGGCCAGAGCAAAGACTGGGAGAAAAAGTGAAAGATTAACTTGGAAATGAGTCAATTGGTTTCGACGATTACATACTAGAGGATAATGGATGGTAGAGGTAAACGTATGGTCAGAAGGTGAAGTGGTTTGGGAGCTTGTAGACAAATTGAATTTGAAGTCATGTGGAAGACAAAACCCAGGAGACCAGGGTAGTGAGGAAGGCTCAGCATCTGTGGGAGTATTTGGGGCTGGAGGTGAGAGAAGCAGCTGTGGCTGACCAGTGTTTGCGTTACACTCACTGGCAGCCTGCTGGTGACTGGCCAGAAAAACTTTTGGAGTCTGATCCAGTGTTCTGGGGTGGGGCAGGTATACATATGTTCTGGTTGAGAATTCACAGTCCTTCATCTAAAACTAGGAATGTTCTCAGGGCTCTTCAGCACTCTAGACATGCCATTTTATTTTTTAATTTTTATTTATTTTTTGGTCTTTTTGAGACAGGGTCTCCCTGTAGCCCCAGCTGGCCTAGAACTAGATATACTGTATACTAGGTGGGCCTTGAACTCACCTGCCTCTGCTTCCCAAGTGCTGGAATTAAAGGCGTGCACCACCACGCCTGGCTATGCCTTTGTATTTAATCATAAGGATTAATCATGAGGCTGGCTCTGGCCCTGTTTACAGTTGAGAAATAGGTTAAAGAAAGGCCTGTCCTCTTTGCCACTAAACTATGCTGGCTCCATAATTGAGTCTCCAGCTTCATTCTCAGTAGCCTTACACCACTGTTAATTGATTTCTTCGTCCCATTTTAGATACTATGTACTAATTTTCTACTGTGGAAAATATGATTTAACTCTGTTATCCTTCCTGAGCCCCATTCTCCCATTATTTGGTTTGTCACGATTTGATTCAGCAGTTTTTGTTGTTTTTAATATGACTACTTACTGTTATAGCTGAAGCTTGTGCCAGTCTAGGTTCTTTTTCCAAGTGCTGGGGCTAAACACATGCCCCACCACACTCAGCCTAACAGTATATTTTCTTACGGTGGTGTAAATGGTCTTAGTTATTCTTAGACACATCCATTAGTGAGTTATGTGTATTTCTTAGAGATCTCTGACTTCCTCAGCCTATTGAACAGCTATCAACCTGGATTTCTTTCATCAGCCTGCAGGAAAAGTCCTCTTGTTAGGGAGCATGTTTTCCCTAATCCCATTTCCCCCTCCTTTTTGGTGGTCATGTTAATTTATAGCTTCCTGAGAAAAAGGTACATTTGTATGTTAAACAGATTTTGCTTGTTAATCACTGTCTTTAAATCTACTCTCTTTTTTTTTTTTTTTTTGGTCTTTTTGAGGGTCTCCCTGTAGCCCCAGCTGTCCTGGAACTCGCTATGTAGACCAGGCTGGCCTTGAACTCACAGAGATCCCCCTGCCTCTGTCTCCTGAGTGCTGGGATTAAAGGTGTGCGCCACCACGCCCGGTTTAAATCTACTCTTATTGTTGATTGATAATTTGTGAATTAAGAGCTTTAAGTTGGAAATAATTTTCCCTCAAGATTTTTTTTTAATTTAAGATTTATTAGTAATTGTGTGTGTGTGTGTGTAGGCGTACAGGTGCCTTTGGAGGCCAGAAAATGGTGTCAGAGTCCCTGGAGCTGGAGTTACAAAGTGGTTGCAAGCCATTCTGTGTGGGTGCTGGGAGCCAAACTCTGGTCCTCTGCAAGAGTAGCATGTGGTCTTATTTTATCTTTAATTAAAAAAAAATTTAAATTGCATTTATTTATTGTGTGTGTATGTGTGTGTACACTTAAGGCATGCATATGGAAGCCAGAGGACAACTCTGGGAATTGGTTCTCTTCTTGCCTTCTATTGTGTGGGTTCTGGGGTTGAACTTAACATTGTTAGACTTGGCAGCAAGTGCCTTTACCTGCTGATGTATCTCATAAGCCATGTTTTTGAGATAGTCTCCTGTAGCCCATGCTGACCCTGAACCTCACGCTTCTTTCTCCAGGGTTTTCTAATTATAGGGGTGCACCACCATGCTTGTGCTGCTTAAATAAATACATTGGGATTTTTTTGTTTGTTTGTTTTGGTCTTTTTGAGACAGGGTCTCCCTGTAGCCCCAGCTGTCCTGAAACTCACTATGTAGTCCAGGCTAGCCTTGAACTCACAGGGATCTGCCTGCCTCTGCCTTCGAGTGCTGGGATTAAAGGGTATGCCACCACACCTGGCTACATTGGCTTTTTGTGGGAACATCTTGCTCTTAACCTTTCCAGACTAATCTTTAAAATTTTCTGGCTTTTTCAACTTATTTTTCCATTTTATATTTTTTTTGTTATCATTGTTGCATGTCTTTATGACTTTAAAGATAACATAGCATCAGCATTTTTCTTTTGCTGTTATATTACTGCTTGGGGTGTGGCATGTTTTGATTTGTTGGATTCAGTCCCTATTTACATGTTGTAAGGCATTCTTCAAATTACTGAAGATCCTTGACTTCCTGTTGGTATTTGAAAATGTAATATTTAAAAGCTGACTGGAAATCCAAGGGGTGTATGTTGGGATTCATTGTAAGAGCAATCAGAAAGCTTTAAGATGTTGGTTTATGTAGATTCCGGAAGCTGTCCTATTCCTCAAGGAGAAGTCTACGCTAATGCTTTCTGTGTATAGTACTTGTGTGGAGAGATCTTTTGCAGTAGGTTTAGTAGGCTGAGCCTTGGGAATCTAACTGAAAATTTCTCAGGAGAATTACAGTTACGGATTTCTTTAGGTGGGGTGGGCCAGGGAGGGAACATTGCTATTCGCCTCCCCTGGTGTTTTCAGTGCTGAGTGGGGAAGGATTCAGGAAGGTTCTTTTTAAAAAAAATACTTTGTTATTTTTATTTTACATCTATGTGTGTATTGCCTGCATGTAGGTAATTACGCACACCCGTGTTGTGCAATGCCTGCGGAGGAAAAAAAAAGTCTCTCAGATCCCCTGGAACTGGAGTTACGGAAAGTTGTTACCTGCCATGTGGGTGCTGGGATTTGAGCCTTGGTCTTCTGCAAGAACAGTCAGTGTTCTTAACTGCTGAGCCATCATCTCTCCAGCCCCTCAGGAAGCTTAGATTACTTAAGGCAGTATGGGAAGCACATTGTGTGTGTCTGTGTACATGCTTGTATGTGTATGTACATGTATATGTATGTGCACATGGAGACCAGAGGCTAATGTGTGTATGTTTGTACATGCATGTGGAGACCAGAGGCTGATGCTGAGTATCTTCTTCAGTGACCCTTCATCTTACTGTTTTTTTTGGGGGGGGTGCAGATTGGTTAATCAGTAATCCCAGGGGTCCTCTTGTCTGCCTCCCAGCGCTGGGCTTTTTTTTTTTTAAGTGGGTGCTGGGTTTTGAACTCAGATCTTCATACTTACTGAGCAATCAGTTTACCTGGTACTGAGCCATCTCCTCAGCCTCAGCCATGTGTTTTTAATATATATCAACTTAGTAAATCCATAATGAATTTGTATGAGCCTTGAAGAGATGGAAATTAGTAAGAATTTGGAAAAAATTTAGAAGCCAGTAAGGAAGGGTAAGGGAAAGGTTCTTTCAAATTTTAAGTATATACTTTTCTTTGGTTACTAGTGAATTTGAGGGTTTTGTATTCATCAACAATTGCATTTCTTTCTTTTTTTTTTTGGTCTTTTTGTAGCCCCAGCTGTCCTGGAATTTACTATGTAGACCAGGCTGGCCTTGAACTCAACAGATACCTGGCTGCCTCTGCCTCTCCAGTGCTGGGACTAAAGGCATGTGCCACCACGCCCAGTGCAACAATTTGTATTTCTTATGAATTGCCTTTTTATATTCTTTGTTTCATTTTGTGTTAATGTATTCTAAGTATTGCTCCTTTGTCTATAATGTATATTTTTGATAACATGAGCAGCCCAGTTCCTTAATTGGCCTATAACAACATTACCATGTGCAAAAACTTGTGTTTCTAAGAATTGATCCATACAGATTCAGGATAGAAATAACCTTTTGGGGAAGTAGAGAAACCATTTGTGTTGCCAAGGGAATTAAAGGCTAGCCTGCCAGAGAAGGCAGGAACATCATGTGGAAATCTAGCCAGTATGGTCATTAACAACATCTACCTCATGGATCACCAGATGCACAGCTTCCTATATCATATTCTTAAGCTTTTATCTACCTGTTTCCTGATATTTTGTGAGATTTTTTTTATCCTGGGCCTGCCAGAGGGAGATAGATTATTATGAGAGGGCTCTGTCAGAGACCTGGCTTTACCTTAGTGGTATGTCTGGGATTATTATAATGTCAGATTTTAGGGAATTAAACCTTCGATTGTGTTTATTTTTATTTTATTTAAAAATTTTTTTTTAATTATTTTTATTTTATGTGTAAGTGTATTGCCTACATGTGCAGCCCTATGTTGTGCAATGCCTGTAGAGGTTGGAAGAGGATTTTGAATTCCCTGGAGCTGGAGTTTGGGTGGTTGATAGCCACCATGTGGGTATGGGGAACCAAACCTGAGTCCTTTGCAAGAGCAGCCAGTGCTCTTAGCTGCTGATGCATCTCTCTAACCTCCTATTTTATTTTAAAAATATTTATTATTTTTATTTTTTGTGTATGAGTATAGTGCCTGCATGTATGTAAGTGCACCTGTGTCATGCAATGCCCACAGCGGTCAGAAGAGGGCATCGAATCATCTGGAACTAGAGTTATGGACAGTTGTTAGCTGCCATGTGGGTGCTGGGAATTGAACCTGGGTCCTCTGCAAGAGCAGCTGGTCCTCTTAACTGCTGAGCCGTCTCCAGCTTCTTAGGTTGTATTTTTTTATGTCTGACTTTTTGTTATTTTCTGCTCTGAATAAAGTTTTCCCTGTTTATTGAGATCTTTTGGTTCTCTCCACAATTCAGCAAGTGGAAAGGAGACAATAGCAGCGTCAGTTCCCTGTGTATCAGCCCCGATGGAAAGATGTTACTTTCAGCTGGTCGAACAATCAAGCTATGGGTTTTGGAGACCAAAGAAGTCTACAGAGTGAGTAAATCACATTGTTTCTAAGAATAACAGTTACATAGAGAAAATAGGAAGTTGTTTGAGTCATAAATATTGTTTTTAAGAATATGAATATGGATTTCAAATTCATTTAGTTAAGTGCTTTGCTTAGGTACATAAGGCTTTTCATTCAATTCCTGCACCATCAAAAAAGAAAGAAAGAAAAAAAACCAAACCATACAGATACTTACCTAATCTTGATCACACTTGAGTGTGATAGTCCCATTACCTGGGAGGTGGAAGCAAGAGGCAGGTGTTGAAGGCTAGCTGGATAACAAAATAAGACCTGGTCTTAAAACACAAAGAAACAAAAAACCAGAAGAAATCCTTTTATTTGCTGATTGAATATAAAGAATTAATGGGACTGGGAATGTAGATCAGTTGGGAGAATACTTGCCTAGCATACATGAATCCCTGGGCTTGATTCCTAAACTGCCTAAGTAGAACATGGTGATATGAGCCTGCAGTCTTAGCACATGGAAGGCAAAGTCAGGAAGGTCACAAGTTTAAGGCTATCCTTGGCTATATAGCAATGTCAACCTGAGCTACATGAGACCTTTTCTTTTAAGAAAAAAGTTGCCAGGTAATCTGTTTAAATAATAAAATTAGTAGAACAAAATTACCTTTCAAATCTGATTTATTTATTGGCATTATAAGTTTAGATATGTTCACATACATTTGAAAAATGATTAAAACTAGTAAGTATAATTTGAAAAAATCTGTTAGACAATGATTATAGTAATTTTCTAACTGGTAATCAGCCTTTCATCTATTAGTATTTCACTGAGGAGATTTACGGTTAGGAGTTAAAACCCATTGCATTCAGGGGTTACTGAACTTTTGGTGCTGTGATGATGCCTTAAAATTGTGGTTTCTACTCACTGAGAGTAAATGAAGACCTCCAATTCCTTGGCTGTGTCTGAGCACCTGCACACCCCTTAAAAATGGATTGAGTCCCACATGGTGGTACATGCCTGTAATCCTAGCACTTGGGAGACTGAGGCAGGAGAATTTTGATGTTGAGGCCAGCCTGTGCTATCATAGTTCTAGAATAGCTTGGCTTATATAAGAAGACACTGTCTGAGAAAAATAAGCAGGCAAACAAAAATAGGGGGGAAAAGATCAAAGTGAGTGAGTCTTAAAGTGGGAAAAATGGTGGTGGGTTAGGGTTCTACTTTTTTTTTTTTTCTGGTCTCTTTGAGACAGGGTCTCCCTGTAGCCACAGCAGGCCTGGAACTCGCTATGTAGACCAGGCTGGCCTTGAACTCACAGAGATCTGTCTGCCTCTGCCTCCCAAGTGCTGGGACTAAAGGTGTGCACTACCACGCTTGACATCAATTAGATGTTTTTTTAAAGAAGTAAAAGGATTATAGCAATAGTAAGTTTGTGCTTAGAATTAAATTTAACTGTTGTTGTGTTGTGAAGCTCTATCTGAGGTATGTATGATGTAGCTTATTTATGATTCATAAGACTTACATTTTTGTACTGCTTTGAATCCACCCTCTCCTAAATCAGATTTAACTTCCTCTAGCACTTCACAGGACATGCGACACCAGTTTCATCACTTATGTTCACTACTGTCAGACCTCCTAATGAGAGCCAGCCCTTTGATGGAGTTACAGGTCTCTATTTCTTATCTGGAGCTGTACACGACCGGTTACTTAATGTCTGGTAGGTAGCTCCTTTGGGTTGTGGAGAAGGCTTTGCTTTGAAAGAACTTCTCACAGCTTAATATAAATAAGTATGAATTACTTACTGTATTTAATGTTGGAATTATATTGACTTAGAATAAAGAGTTGAGCCTGCCCTTAAAACAGTTTTTTGAAAAAACTTTAAAAGCATTACATAATGGAATCTCCTGATTATTTAAGGATAGGAAGACTTTCATTTTGTTAGATTAGATGGCACTCCTGCATTAATGTTTGTTTCCTGAGGGTTTACTGAGGCATACAACTCTTTGTTTTGGATAATTTCCAGTAGCCTTTTCCCCTAGTAATTGGTGTTACTAATTGCTTTTGAAGTTACTTCTAAAGATAAAAAACTGATATAAAGAGCCATTATAGAGGGTTTTTTGTTTTGTTTTGTTTTTTGTCTTTTTAAAAAAATTTTATTATTTTTATTTTATGTGTATGAGTCTATTGCCTGTATGTATATGAATGCACCCGTGTCATGCAGTTCTGCAGAGGTCACAAGAGGGCTTCGGATTCCCCTGGAACTGGAGTTAAGGATGGTTCGTAGCCACCATGTGGGTGCTAGGAATTGAACCCGG